GAAGGTTTTAATTGGGTTGAAAACTAGACGTCTGAGTCTATTGCGCAGCGAGAAAATTTGTCATACGGATGCTCCCTCAGCCCATGGAAACGTTTTAAAGATATCACTGGTGGTCAGCGCCTTGGGAAAGAAGCATGTATTGACGTCTATTCGTTAAGAAATCCTCTAGACGCAAATCCAGCTGCCCCATCTTAATATCCACCCACTTCCACTGAATCCTGTCGCCCCAAATTCATTGGCAGAGATATCTTCGGGTGTCTAAAATCCGTGAACTACTCATACAGCTTGCGTCCACAGAGCGCATAGTTTCATAATCACGAAATATACTGTCCATCAGCCAATATGTTCAGCAGGTCGTTTTCAGAAAACGCCGTAAGAGGTGCCTGGCCCCAGCACCTAGTTTGGTGACTTCAGGCGTATGTATGAAATTCAATCCGATCGCAGCCACTCCGCTTTTGAAAGTGATAAAAAATTTAATAATACCTATGTCTGAATACTCATTAAAGCCTTCTGGAACTCCTAATCAACAAACATAAGGAGGCAAAAGAAGCGCTCCGGTTGCCACTATTGTTTTATATCACAACGTTCCTTACAATCTCCATATAAACGCAAGGTGTCATGTTCGCCTTTCACGACCATGCTTCAGCACTTGATTCTGACCCCATACCTCTTCTGTTGGGCAAGCTAGCGGAGACACGTGCTGGGTCCTGGATAATCAGCTGGTCGTATCCATGTTCCCCCGGAGAGGAGCACTATACTATTTGCAGACTGAAGAGTCCTACCTCATTACTTATTGGGGCTGATTTGCCTCAAGGTGCCATCCTTTCCCTTTGTCTTTTCTCCGTCTTTCTGAATGACTTACTATCTTCAGGTCGTATGAAGGTCGACAAATACACCGAAGGCCTGGCGGCTTCATTACTCTTCTCCTCTTCAATAACGTTCCCAGCCAAGCAACCTCCTAACTACTAATGGATGATGGCTCTTCACGGGTGGTCTTGTGCCTCATCTATCAAAACGTCCGATCATAAACTTTGGTTTCAGACATAAATACAACCCATGTAAGCCACTGAAGTCTCATGATTCTCGTTTTAATAATAGATGCGCATTAGAGAATGCTCAGAGTGTAATTTACTTCGCCGGGTATTTTCCTTCAGACTTTTCCTGGTCCTCCCCTATCTTAGTAACTTCCAAAAGAATTTTCCGCCTAACTTACTGCATTAGGAGACTGAGCGTATCTGCCACAACCTCCCCCTCGATTGTCCTACTTTGGTCTTCCCTGTGTTGTTGAAAACAGGCTATGCCGTATTGTCCAGATTTTTGAAGACCATCTACAAGATTAGTAGTATACCTCTAAACCTCCCATTTGAAACCGCCACGAATGGACAACTTAACTCATGCAAACAGCTAGCAGGAGTTATTCTACCAGATAACTAGCATCCACTTCACTCGAAGTTGTGCGCATATCTGTCTTCAGGCAGGACCATGAGCAAGTATATCGGGCTTTATTCATGTGCTGATCAATATAATAAATCTACCATGCCTCACATAGCTCTTATCGTGTGCGAGGACTAAAATCTTCTGAGTAGTTCGACCACTCAAACTTTGTTTTTTAATGCGAACTAATCGAGATTACGTAGCTTGCTGTTGTTTATTCTCAAAAAGTTATAGATGGAATAAGTTTTGTCCAAATCCCGTCTTCCTTATAATTTTTCTGTTTAGTCCATTTATTGTGTATGCGTATGAACTGCTTCTGTTCAAGTGAGGCTGTATGATATGCTGGAAATCATTTGCGGTATTCTCGAAGTATCTTTCAGAAGGAAGCCACTGCTATTATTGTGATCACTATCCCATCAGAGATTATAACAGTAATAATATTTACTCCTGAATATACAGGCACACACCGTTTTTGCAGGTATGAATACGTTACTATATAAATTACATGTGTCTTTATGGCAGGAAATCTCAATCCCCACTTGTTCTACCACTAGAGAATATAAGCGTTACATGTCTATAAGATGGAACATCCTGGAAGAATAAGTAGGCAAAAATGTACGAGTTGAACAAGTGTAAGTATTATCTCCGCATTAAAAACATCATGCTTGCGTCTAGACGCACGCTTTACGTCGAGAAATAAAAATCTTGAAGCTAACAATTCCATTGCGACTGCCTGTACTTTTTGCTGAGGACAATGATGAAAACTTTAGGAGGGAGCATATACACAAGTCGTTTATTTATTGTACTTCGTTTATGACCCTGGAACCGTAAAATTCATGTATATCAATACCAATTCACATCAAAGGTCGGGGAAAGACCTAATACTAGCACACTGTATCATAGGCAATGACTTTAGTCCCAGCCTATTTGGCCTCTTCATCCAGCGCATATCTGATAGCTGGAATGAAAACCACCGAAATGTCTTCAACCTATTCGCCTACATCTTGGTGCAGTTCTTTGACCTAATTTAAATTAGGGTTGCAAATCCACAACACTCCAAGCCACATGGGCTGAACAGGTCACTAGTGCAGCTGCACATAATTATCGGGACGGCGCGCTTTCCGTGAATACCGACATTTATTGCCTCGTATCCACTCTCCTCGGAAATGACCACGCACATGCCTAACCGGTATGGTAGTTCCTCTCAGTAAGTAACAGTTTTTGCCAGAAAAAATTGTCTACGGAATGTGCAATCCTCATTCAGCCAACAACATCACTCTCCAAACGGACAACTGAGTGGTAGGTCTACTGCTCAAGTTGCTGCATCTGAAGCACTGATTACATCACTTGATCACATATTTTGGATTTATGGGAAGCTTTTGGCACTCTTCTGAGCCCTAAAACTAGGCAGTCACAGGTAAGGTTGAAAACTTCGGCTGGCATAGTTTTTCCACATGCTACCCGACCCAAGCATTTTTATCTCGCCTCCCTCACAATCACCTATCGAAATGAGTAACAATGGCGCTATAACCAAATCCAGCGTGAGAAACACTTCAAGTAAAGCCCCACCTCAGCTGCTAACCTTGCCTTCCGTGGTAGTAACCAGAGTCGAAGTGAAGGGGGTTAGAGCCGCCGCAAAGGATCACGGGTCGACCTCAAAGGAACAGCCACAACTACCGGTCCCTGGAAGAGGTCAGCACCCATCTGCTTTAATTCAGCGAAGAGCATGTCTTTCTGGCAAGCCCAGCCCAAACCCAGCCTGCTGTGAAGGCTACTGCAGAGAGACGATGGAGAAGGAAAGGAAAATCTTTGACTAAACCTTCTGGCCAGACTGACGATTGTCGTTTTTGTGGTCTCACCGTAGCCGAAGGGAACTCTGCTTTTGAGCATGATATCCGAAACAAGTGCCCACACTGTCAATGTGATAAGAGCGTACCAGACCAATAATGCGTCCTCATGAAGCATCACCCATGCGCGTAGTCCCAGTACATCCGTCCACAGTGCCGTGTAAGGCCACCCCTCTCTACAGGCTCGCTCATGGAGATCGCAATAGACACCCTAGTGGCCACTGGGTGCCGGCACCCACACAGAGCACTACCCCAAGTTCAAAATGCAAGGGTGTCAGTATCGTTCCTCGGGCAGTCACGCCCAAAAAGGACTAAACGACTACCAGCCATGCGGCCAGCCATATCAACCTAGAACCGCGAAGTTACTTTAATGGCTACCTCTACCGTACGTCGGGCGAAATGGGTTACAATGCGAAAGAAGAAACACCCTCCCACTAAAAGCTCACTCGAAACACGCGACAAGAGGGGTGTTGATGGCAGATTGAATTCCATTATCTTATTCGGTATCCGTGTGTTCCATGACGGTCTTCTTGAAAAAAGAGGATCTTTTGACGAACGGCAATGGGTAACGGTATGCTCCACACTGTGACCGGGCGGCTTAGGAGTAAAGCTATGCAGGCTCGACAGAGGCAATTATTCACCTCAGAGAAAGCTTCACTGTTGAAAGTGCCCCTGGGCTCGGCCAAGGGGGCGGAAGAATTCCTGTTGCTGTCACATACACTAGTCATCAATCGGTAATCCAGCACTACGGCTAGGCTAGACCGGTCATGTTTGGCGAGACCTACTTACGACCTCACTTAGAGATGTGCAACTTTATTGAGCCATCATGCCTGCAGAGAGGTGCGAACCTTCTCCAGAAAGTTCAAAGGCCAACAGAAAACGGTGTCGTCGGAATGAGGCAAAGGTCCTGTGAAGACAGGCTGAAAGACCTAGGGCTCTACTGTAGTGGCTACAGTAGATCACGTGGTGACCTGATAACGGCTTATAAAATACTAGGCAATCAGAGTCATCCAAACAGTGATATCCTACCGAACGGCGACTGTAGGAATGCTCGTGGTAACCCAAGTAGAATCGCTCGCCGAAGGGCAAAAACCAGCGTGCGTCCACGCTTCTTGCCAATTTTGCTACTGCTCCGTTTGCTGGAGGCCTTAATAAGAGGTTGGACAGTAAAGCAGCGACTCATGTTTTGCGCTCACCCAGCTGGAATGCAGACCAAGTCGACACAACCTACTAATTCCTCACGATTCAGCACAGCCAATCCATTAATGAAGCTTTTGTGACGTCAGTATGACCGCGAATCCGACCAAACTCCATACATCCCCGCAGACGTTTTCTCCAGTCACCATATCCTACTAATAGTGTTGTCATCTCTATTCCTATAACACATCCTATAATCTTGCTCCTCCGTCTCTTCCTTGTGACTCTGTGTTCTCACATTACTTAATAATAGTTCTTCCTTTCACTTATCCCTCTTGAATCTACTTTGGCTTCTCATACCCTTCCGTTCAGCATCCTTTCACCTCATCTTATTTTGTTTCTTTTACCCCGCACTTCCTCTCCCCCGATTTTTTGGTTGTCTTTCCTGTCTATTTTTAAAAACCAGTCCAGTCAACTGTCTGGTGGTACGATACTTGAGGAACCCATCTGCATCATAGTCCTTGAAACAACCATTCAATCCCTAAAACTTTAATCAACGCCGTACTGACGGGTGGTTTAGACTTTAAACCTTGGATCTTGTGTTGTAAACTAAGTGAACGATGGGTTCTTGGGTCCCATTAAGACAAGGAACCGTGGTTCGCCAATTCTACAACACAAAGTTTGGAGTTTGAACTGCCAATCGAGCTAACTAGAGCTACAGCAGTCTAGTTGGTAGACCCACTGTATCGGACTCCATCAAAAACGTGGAACCGTTCCGTAAGACCTGGAAGCGAGCGCAAAAAAATCAACTGGTTTACACAAGCTGGTAAAAATATATTGGATATTAGCACTGAGGATTTGCGGGTTATATCAGTTATTACGTTACTCACGTATGTCATCTGCATCGGAGTTTGATCCAGTATCTGAGTTCCTTGCACGGGAGCAGGAAGCTCTTGGTGATTTAGGTGATGACTTTAGAATAGATGAAAGCCGTACAGGTAATTATTTATTTGGTGTTTGATAACTGCTGAAAGTTACGTATATTTGAAGTTTTACAACATAAAACTTAGGTTCATACAAGTATTTCAAACGACTAATAGTAAAATTTATGACGCTTTTGGACTTAAGTCTCTACATATTATGGTGTTTATATGCTATTGGTGGCTGAAGCTACTGAAACGTTTCTAGGTCACTGGAGACTAGAAAGTATGTCGAACATATTCAAGGAAGACAGACGTAGAACTCAAGGAACGATCATTCACTGGTCCTACAATCCACACTTGAGGTCCGAACTGAAAAGCTTAGTTGGCTTAACACTAAGGTTTCCCATTTTGATTCGAACGTGAGAAAATCATGCACGTCTAGTTGTACTCTACTTTTGATGTACCTTTCTAAATGTATGCAAAACTTAGTTTTAATGTTGAAATTCTTATCAGATGTACGTTTTAGTAAATTGATTGTCAGCGGTGTACATATACATATATGCATTACTTATGTGTTTATGTATTTAAATGTCGGGAAGACCTGTCAACTAATGACTACCTCACGGCATACACTACCAAGTGATTATTAGATCTTGAGACATCGACTAATCCTGAACCTACATGTGGCCGATTTTCCATTTGATAGGACGAGTTATTTTTCCTTTCCTTATGTTCCATCTACAACTTGAGGTAACCAAAACAGTATTCAAAATCTAAGAAGCCTGTGTACTTTCATTGTTGAATATATTGTCATTCACCGCCATACCATCGTATAAAGGCGTCTTTTAAAACCGTATGGAAATTACCTTTGTGTTTGAGAAGTCTGCCATCTGACGTGTATTCAGCTTAAACACTGGAAGTGAAGAGTAAGCGTGAATTTTTAAAACTTGGGATGCTACCTTGTGTAAGGATAGATAACTGGCCAACTAACTTGCAGTAGACTTACTCCAGTCCAAATAGGTACTGCTGTATGTGTGTTTTACGATCATATCGTCTTGGTGTGGTCAAATAACTAGATATAATAGATGGAAATTCGGTCTATCTAGCATGCCAGTGAACTGTGATATCATTTTTGATGCCGAGCTATAGAATCTGTCTATTATTAGCCTTGGAAAATTTCTATAACGGTTTCACTATCAGCGTCATGTCAAATTTAGTAAGACTGATAGGGTTTTGTACAATTATACAGATAGGGAAATAGGGTGGTATAGCGTAAACAGTTGAGTCTATGTTTACCGTCAACTTGGGAGTCCTGTATTTTGCATCAGCTGCAGTGGTTCTCGTCATCCAATTAAAATAAATATCTTGATCATCACCTTTAAAGGACTTCATTCGGATAGCATGAAAATTTGTATTCGAAGTGCTGAAAAACAGCACAAGTTCCAAGCAACGATGCATACATGCTTCTTCACAGAAGACGTCTTATGATGTTGACTTGGTATTCTCTGGGCTTTAATACCGAACCATCATCCTGAGCTACGTATCTTTTCCATCATTTCGAAATATTTTATATTAGTGTCATTACGAAAATGATTGTAGGTAAAATATATAGCCTGGTATTTGATTACTTAGTGATTTTCAACCGATGAAAATATTCCTCACTTATGCAGATGGCTTTCTGTATAATTCTTTAGCCACACCATATACTGATATAATCACCTTTCATCATGAAGTAAATAAAGACGAGTTGATACTGTTTGTATGGGATATAATCTGCTATATTTAAGGCAGATGTCGTTGTATGTGTCTATCATCGTAGAAGGAAATTTAGATCTTACATACTCCAATCGATAGCTGCTACACAGACGAGGTGTTCGGGCTTGTATATCACAACGACTCAACTAGGCATACTGGCTGTAAAGATTCTTACTTGAGGTCCCACCATAACCTAAAGGTTTTTGGACAGTAAGACCGAAAGCAGTTACCGTTATAATGTGATGTACTACACTGTGATGGGAGGGTCTGAGACAGAAAACGTACTGCTGACTGAACGCGGTGACAGCCATGAGATTTTTCTGGCTGATAACGAACAGCACCAAGTCAATACCCCCTTCTGTAACGAAATAGAGGTTAACACACCCCTTCCTAGTTTCTTACGGTGTCGATGGCATGAGTCTACAGCTGGACTGTAAACAAACAAAGTCAAATCTTAGACTTCCAAAAAGGGTGTGTAACTAACCTCAAATACGTGTCCTTTAGGCTCTGCAATTACGGACCATTATTACTAATCCAACCTTTTTCAGGTACATCAAGTAGAAGTAACGTCCGATGGTACGAGTAGTCGAAAATTGTCAGCCCCCCTCACAGCTCTATCGCCACTCAAGTTCTCTTAGATCACTATCTACCTTTCAGACCCTTAACTTCTAACCCTCTTTCACATTTGTCGGTTCACATTCCAACATTATCTTTAGTTTAGTTCAGCTGTGCAGCTCTTGATAACGATATGAATTCACAGGACAGCATCCCTGGTCTCCTGACATCCCGCTCCAAACTATATATTAGTGCTTTCAATGCCTGGATTCTCTGTCAAATCGGACAACAACCTTTGATAGCCAAAACATTATCATCTCTTATCGTGGTTGTGTTGTGTTTGTAAGACACGCATACAGCACCTAAGCACGGTTATTCACCTAACCTCACCTAGCCAATGTGGGGGATTCGCAAATTCACCCTTTGAGCTTCTGGAGATTTGATGGCCAGTTCTCGTGGCCTCGCAAGCGTAAGAGTAGGATTAAGTACCAAGGTCGAAAGTACGCTGATCAACTGGATCGTGCAATGAGAACTAGGAAGAATAGTAGAACTCACGTTTTTGTCTCTTTCCAACCGGCGCTTACACACACACTGACTGAAATTTGGATGAAGTAAAGGGTTGATTTTGCTGAAAACTGTCTAACCCCCTACTGAAAAGCAAACTCAGTCAAGATAGTTGTTGTAGGTGATTTCAATCCACAATTGGGTAGGCTAAGTCAGACAGAAACCTACTTTGATGACACTTTCTAAATCTCATCTAGACGAACACATGACTGCAGTTGCCTGCTACAACTGTGTCCACCTACTTCAACTCAGTGGTCGACACACATAGACCGTGTTGCTATTAGATATCACTAGAGGATTAGTGGGAGATTGTTACTCTTTCTGAAGTACATGCTTGAACCACGACCACACGTTGGTTCGACCACGTATCTGCACCCATTTGAAAGTGGACGAACTACAGCAATGGGACCATTTCAAGCGCAGCTGAATGACGCAATTTTAAGGACACTTTCAGTGACGAACTGGCTAGAGAGTTGTCAGAATCGATCAATGTGACTCATCCAGAAAGGTGGCTTTGGCTCCAGTCTGCTACGAGAACAGCATTAAAAATCTAAGTTGACTCAAAGAGAGGCTAGAACGCATCAATGGTTCCCAACAGCTTTCCCTGAATTTATGGATACGTGTAAATGTATGCCTGCAGACTCCAAGTACAATGAGAAATGAAAGCAACTCATATATGGATTGTCAGAGAGTTCATGCAATGACCACTAGTAGTGGTGAGTAGCGAGGGGGAAGGGTGGTGAGATGGAAAAGGGGGTGGCGATAAGCAACAGAAGACAGTTACTTAGACTTATCAAGGAAACTGAAGCAAAAGCGTCAGTGGCTAGTGAGACTATATCGGAGAATGGTGGATCTACAGTTTATTATCAGAGGAGACGACTGGAACGATGGGTGGAAAACTTCGAAGAGTGATTCAACTGGTTAGCGACTGGTCTCGGTAGGTCTCCATGCAATCGTATCCTGAATGGGATGTTGACATGTGACCGTCAACAATTACAGAACTCGATGAAGGTATGACTAATGGTGAGACAAGGAGTAGCAGGAGAGTCAGACGTACTAGTACAAGAGTTATTTGAGGATAGTGGTAGTGGATTACTAGTCGAGTTAGCTGAAGTGTTTTTTGGTGTGTGGGGGTCAGATACGATCCTCTCTGACTGGCCTCAGTCACTGATTGTTCGAGTTTTCAAGAAAGCCGAGAATTCCTTCTGTGATGACTGCAGGATAATCGGCTTGACGAATATAGCGTCTAAGATTTTAGTTTGTATAGTTTCTGTTAGTCTTATCCATGTAAAGTGTGGTTGGAATTGGTGTGATGGTAGAAATCAGTATTTGTTGACTCTAGCGGATACTGCTGATAGTCACTATCAGCAATGCTGATGTATCCTTGTACTGCTCTAATCCTAACCACCATACGGAATTTTATTGTCTCATCCCTCCCATTTCTTTTTTGAGATGTCCCTACTACTGTTGACTCCTTTCTTATTTTACGGTCCTTTCATCTTGGTGCATTTAATGTGCTCCCTTGATGTCTGCCAAAGTAGACTTCATATTCTTCCAGTGGCACGCAAAGGCAAACTAAGTATAACCTCAGGCAACCGTTGCCTCTCTCCATACCTTTTTATGACCTGACACCACCATTCTGTCCTCGCGTTTCACCCTATTTGAGACTCATCAGCTGGACTTACTTGTACCCCAGTGAGTGATGTTCCTATTGGGGCTCGAGCTCAGTACTCTTCGCTTTAAACACCAAAGCGTTATCCACTAAGCCACTGGGACACGATAGCCACCTGTTGTGCAACATGTATCAGTTATTGTTATGATACTTGTAATTTCTCGTTGCACAAGAGGTAGCTGTTGTGCTCCAGTGGCTTGGTGGATAGGGCTCTGGCGTTCGGAGCGAAGGGTACTGCTTTCGAGCTTCGGTGGGAGCAACATCAGTCACTGGGGTACCTATACTTCCAGCTGATGAGTCTCAAATTGGACGAAACATGCTCTTGGATTCCTGATAGTCACCAGGATCAATGTAAATTGCAAGGATAATATTAATAACGGCAAGCAATGTGAAGAAGTAAAAAAATCTATCAAACTTAATGTTGATCTATGAAAGCTTCTCAAAATCGACATACAAGCTTGTGCACTATTCAACGATCCATATCTATTTTGTGAAGACTATCAATGCTACCTGCCTGCTTAAACCTTGGCATTGAAGGTGAATTAGGACTTAATGTCGAATTTTTAAAATTTTAAGTTCTGGATAGAATCCGTTGCATTTTACCTTCATCAAATATATTATTTTCGCTTCACCGTCACTCACATTTTTCTGATCATTTAATGTGTAGATATCAGAGATCAGCCCTGTGAACCAACTTCAGATGCTAGTTATGTCTTTCTAAATGGGGAATTCAAAATGAATGGATCACATAATGAACAACATATTTCATCCGATCCTGATTGTGCGATTAGCGATTATAATCGTGACTACAATATGACCAGGTCTTATACCAATTCAATCGGTACTGAATCTTGGCGTGATGAATTCAACAAGCGAATAAAAGCTAAAGATGCAGAAGAAGAGAAGAAATGTGTGGAACTCATGGAAAATGGGAAGAAGGTAATTTATTTTTCTCATGATAACAAGCTCAAGCATAATCAACCTTTTCCCTATTTAATAAGTTTATTTTGTGCTACGGACGGTTTTATTACATCACTGTGTCCTGCATCAAGTAGACAAACCTATTGTAGGATTATACTCTTCCATTGTTCCCACGTTCTGCTGTTATATTACATGTTTTGTCTCGACATCAACCGCAGTTTTTCTACCACTCCTGTAATCTATCTTACAAAACTCAGTCACCTATCTCTAAAGGCTTCATATTTTGGTTATTTCCTTCATTAATTGTTATCCCACTGACATTGAGGAAATAACTTATCTATGTTGTAAGGTCTCTTGTTCACTGGAACTTCTGTCGCCAGTTAAAATCCAGCTTTCGGATTACAGCTGTTACCTTCTTTGATCATTAATATGCTGCCAGGGAAAGTTTCTTTCCTAAATGCGTGACCAATGCCAGTTATTATTGTGCTGGTAGTGGTGACACTGTAAACAGGGTTAGAGAATACGTTTGTATTTCACCAAGGTGACTCTTTTGGACAACTCATCTTTCTCCGTTCATAGTAGCTCATTTTGAGAGAGGTATTGCAAATAACGCACTCTAAAGCCCGACCGACAGTTACTACCTTGGCGTGTTTGTGAGGTTTGAATGTCGCAGTTATTCAACAAGATGCGCCAACTAGAGTGATTGCACTTTGATATTCTAGCCTGAATGGTCTGGTTGCTGACGAAATCTCAGCTCGGATACAGAAGGCCCGTTTGGCGTTTGCCAAATTGCCCCACCTATGGCCCCGGAGAGATATCCGACAATCTATCAGAGGGAAAGTACGCTGCTCTACGGTCTTTTCTGTCCGGTTGTACGACCGTGAGATATGGCCGTTAAAGTGGAAAATATGAAGCGGTTACAGGTTTCCGATCACTGGTGTCTTCGAAACACTAGCGTTTCGTGGAATCACCATGTAAACAATGCTGAGGTAAGGAGGAGGATACTAGGCAAGAAACGCAAGGCGATTGATGAGGTTGTGAGTCTGAATCTACTGAGATAACTTGGACATGAACTGTGTAGACCAAACCAGGCCTCAATGTGCCATGCTAGCGAAAGCTGGATTAGATTAGTAGAAGCACGGGTTATCAAAGGTCGGCCCTAAAAATAACACTCCACCATACCCCACGGCCTGCCAGACCAGCGGTACCCGACCGATAGCTGCTACCTTGACGTGGTGGTCGGGCTTGCATATCACAATGACCCAACGAGCTATGCTGGTGGAACGCTTGTTCCCTCGAGGTCCTACCATACCAGAAAGGTCTGTTGGGTAGTGGTTAGACGAAAAGCAGTTACCGTTATAGTGTAAATTGCTACACTATGATGGGGGTCTGAGGGCGAAGTCGTACTGCTGCTAGCTGGATGGGGTGTGACAGCAGTAAGGTGTTTCCCTTGGATGACCAGCAGTGCCAAGCTGATGCTGCCTTCTCAGTGGAAGGGGGGTTAGAAAAGGTCGGCCCCAAAAATAACACACTCCACCACGCCCCACGGTCTGCCGGGCCGGCGGTGTTGGTTCACTTGTCGTTTCCTTTCGCTCATCCGGCCCCAAAAATACAAAAATTCAAAATAATCATACTCAAAAGGCTGGGTGTGACAGGCCTCAAGCAGATGTCCGATGGGCTCTGCGGTCACACAAATCTCTTTCAGGTACCTTAAGAAGAAATAGCCTTCCACGGTGTGGGCAGCCGGGAAGTGTCAACCGCCCTCACAACTCTGTCAGCACCCAAGTTTCTTCTGACTGCTATCCTCCTCCTCCATCATTACCTTCTAATCTTCCTTCACGTCTCTTAATTAATGATGCTGCATCATCTTCAATTTCTCCTACCTCTGCAGCCTTCGACAACGATCTGAGTCCACAGAACAGCATCCCTGGTCTCCTTAAACCACGCTCCAAATTACATATTGGAGCCTTCAATGTCCGCACCCTCCGTCAAATTGGCCAACAGGCTTCGTTGGCAAAGACTCTAGCAACTCGGGCATGGATGTGTGCTGTGTTTGTGAGACACGCATACAGGACCCAAGTGTGGTTATTCACCTGACCTCTCCTGACCAATCTGGTGAATCTGCAAAATTCACCCTTCGAGTTTCTGGAGATTCGATAGCTAGCTCTCGTGGTCTTGCAGGTGTAGGTATAGCATTAAGCACCAGGGCAGAAAACTCACTACTAGACTGGATCCCAGTTGATAGTCGCCTCTGCGCTATGAGGCTGAACGGCACAGTGAGAACTAAAAGGAATAGTGAGACTCGCCGTTGTCTCTTTGTAATCTCTGCTTACGCACCCACTGACTGTAGTTCGGATGAAGTGAAGGACGAGTTCTACCATAAACTGTCTAACCTCCTCTCGAAAGCCAAACGTTCGGACGTAGTGGTTGTTGCAGGTGACCTCAACGCACAGGTGGGTAGACTGAGTGAGGCAGAAAGGCACTTAGGTGGCACTTTCGGAATCCCAGCTGAACGTACAGATAACGGTGATCGCCTATTACAACTATGCTCAGATAACCGCCTATTTTTAGCCAGCACAAATTTCAGACATAAAGAAAGGCACTGTCTGACCTGGCGTCCACCGAGCTCGACTCAGCGATGGACACAGATAGACCACATTGCTATTAGTCATCGCTGGAGAGGATCGGTGGAAGACTGCCGCTCCTTCTGGAGTACGTGTTTGGACAGCGATCATGCGTTGGTCCGAGCACGTATATGCCTGCGTCTCAATGGACGTAGAAAAAATTTGGCAACAAAACCACTACGAGTTCTGCTGGACAACGAAAACACCAAAGCCGTGTTCAGTGAGAAGTTGGCTAGGCAGTTATCGGAACAAAAGACTGTCACTCATCCAGAAGAAGCTTGGTGCCATCTTCAGTCTACTGTAAAAGCAGCACTGGAGACTGTAGCCGACTCCAAGATAATGGCTAAAAAGAGCCAGTGGATATCAGCAGCTTCTTCCAAACTAATGGATGCACGTGAATGCATCCCTGCAGGCTCTGAGTACAATGAAGAGCGAGCGCAACTTAAAAATAAACTGACGAAAAGTCTGCGCAACGATCGTGAACAGTGGTGGGCAGCAAAGGCTAAAGAGATGGAAAAGGCAGCGGCGATCGGTAACAGTAGACAGTTATTTAGACTTATTAAGGAGACTGGGGGGAAATGGTCAACAACAGTTAGTGAGGTTATAGCGGAGAAGGACGGATCGGCGATTCACTCGCAGGGAAGGCGACTGGGACGATGGGCAGAACACTTTGAGGAACAGTTTAACTGGCCTCCAGCCACCATTGCGCTGCCCGCTATCCAGTCGGACCCTGAATGGGACATAGAGACAGGTCCCCCAACACTAGAAGAAGTTGAGAAAGCGGTAGGTAGCCTGAAACGGGGAAGGGCAGCAGGACCAGACGGACTACCTGCTGAGGTATACAAGAATGGTGGTAGAGTTCTCTTAGTCAGGCTAACGGAAGTGTTAGCCAGTATATGGGAATCAAATACGATCCCCTCCGACTGGTCTAAGTCACTCATCATCCCAGTCTTCAAGAAAGGCGAGAAGTCCTCTTGTGATAACCACAGAGGAATCAGCCTGACAAACATAGTGTCTAAGATCCTAAGTTCTATAATTCTCCGACGCCTGAGTGGAGCTCGGGAACAGCAAGCCCGAGAAAACCAGGCAGGCTTTAGACCTGGCCGTGGATGTATCGACCAAATATTCACACTGCGCCAGGTCCTGGAACATAGGCATGCTTACAGACGCCCGACAATAGCTGTATTTCTCGACCTGAAGGCGGCATTTGACTCCGTTGATCGAGAAGTCTTATGGCAGTGTCTGTCACTGAAAGGCGTGCCTAGTAAGTACATCACCTTATTGAAAGCTCTCTACTCGAACACTTGTGGGCATGTTAGAGCCTATGGTGAGTTGTCCAGGGAGCTATACTCATCAAGTGGTGTCCGTCAAGGATGCCCACTATCCCCATTCTTATTTAATTTTATCATAGATATTCTTATGGAGGTTTCCCTCTCGTCACCTAATTACAAAGACGTTGACCGGACCACAGGTGAATTTTCCTTAGATCTAGAATATGCAGATGACATAGTCCTGTTAGGTGAAGACGCTGACAAGATGCAGAGTCTTCTGAACACTTTGAGTGGGAATTTGAGAATGTTTGGGATGCGATTTTCACCACCCAAATGCAAATTTTTGCTCCAGGACTGGTCTTCAGCGGTACCGCGGTTAACAATAGAGAGTGAAGTGGTTGAGTGTGTTGACCACTTCACTTACCTGGGAAGTAGGATCAACCCGGTGGGTTAGTTGCCGATGAGATTTCTGCACGGATACAAAAGGCTCGATTGGCTTTTGCCAATTTGCGCCACCTATGGCGCCGCCGTGATATTCGTTTGTCTATTAAGGGTCGCGTGTACTGCACAGCAGTCCGCTCTGTTCTACTGTATGGCTGTGAAACATGGCCATTGAAAGTGGAAGACATGAGAAGGTTACAGGTATTTGACCACCGTTGCCTTCGTAGTATAGGACGTATTCCGTGGTGTCACCATGTGAGTAATGCAGAAGTTAGGTGTAGAGTTTTAGGGAGAAGAGGTAAGTCAGTCGACGAGGTTGTGAACCTTCATCGACTGAGATGGTTGGGACACGTACTACGTATGCCTAGTCACCGATTGCCTCGTCACACAATGTTGGCTGAGGTGGGTTCAGGCTGGAAAAAGGCCCGAGGTGGCCAGACTAAAACATGGCACCAATGTATGAAGTCTCTGACTGTTGGTTTAAGCCATGTAGGACGATGCAGACTAGGTGGTTGGGGTCCACGGGACAAGAGGAACCAGTGGTTGGAGACCCTAGGTGATATGGCTCAGAACCGAAGTCAGTGGCGCAGATGTATACACACATTATCCTCATCTTAACAACGCTATACCGAATCTCACTATTTTGTCACTCCTCTTTCCTTTCTTCTCGTACTTTATATTTCTTTTGACTGCATTCACTTATCTTCATCCTTCACCTCACTACCTTTTTACTTGATGTGCTGATATGAGGTGTGGCAACTCGGACCGTTACGCAGTAATGCCTGGTCCTATGTTGATAATGATGATGATGAGACCCGTGGTGTTGGCTCATTTGTCGTTTCCTCTCAACCATCCGGCCTCAAAAATACAAAGGTTCAAATTATCATACAAAAGGCTGGGTGTGACAGGCCTGAAGTAGATGTCCGATGGGCTCTGTGGTGACACAAATCTCTTCCAGGTACCTTAAGAAAAAATATCCCTTTGTGGTGTGGGCAGCCGGGAAGTGTCAACCGCCCTCACAATTCTGTTAGCACTCAAGTTTCTTCTGACTGCTATCCTCCTCCTCCATCATTAACTTCTAGTCTTCCTTCCTGTCTCTCAACTAACGATACTACATCATCTTTAATTTCTCGTAGTTCTGTAGCCTTCGACAACGATCTGAGTCCACAGAACAGCATCCTTGGTCTCCCTAAACCACGCTACAAATTACATATTGGAGCCTTCAATGTCCGCACCCTCCGTCAAATTGGTCAACAGGCTTCGTTAGCAAAGACTCTAGCAACTCGGGGCATGGATGTGTGCTGTGTTTGTGAGACACGCATACAGGACCCAAGTGCGGTTATTCACCTGATCTCTCCCGACCAATCTGATGAGTCCGCGAAATTCACCCTTCGATTTTCTGGAGATTCGATAGCTAGCTCTTGTGGTCTTGCAGGTGTAGGCATAGCATTAAGCAGTAGGGCAGCAAACTCACTACTAGACTGGATCCCAGTTGATAGTTACCTGTGGGTTATGTGGCTGAATGGCACAGTGAGAAGTAAAAGTAATAGTGAGACTCGACGTTGTCTCTTTGTAATCTCTGCTTACGCACCCACTGACTGTAGTTCGGATGAAGTGAAGGATGAGTTCTATTATAAACTGTGTAGCCTCCTCTCGAAAGCCAAACGTTCGGACGTGGTGGTTGTTGCAGGTGACCTCAACGCACAGGTGGGTAGACTGAGTGAAGCAGAAAGGCACTTAGGTTGCACTTATGGAGTCCCGACTGAACGTATAGATAACAATGATCGCCTACTACAATTGTGCTCAGATAACCGCCTATTTTCAGCTGGCACAAATTTCAGACATAAAGAAAGGCACTGTCTGACCTGGCGTCCACCGAGCTCGACTCAGCGATGGACACAGATAGACCACATTGCTATTAGTCATTGCTGGAGAGGATCGGTGGAAGACTGCCGCCTGTACTGCACAGCAGTCCGCTCTGTTCTACTGTATGACTGTGAAACATGGCCATTGAAAATGGAAGATATAAAAAGGCTTCAGGTGTTTGACCACCGTTGTTTTCGTAGTATGGGACGTATTCCGTGGTGTCACGATGTGAGTAATGCAGAAGTCAGGCTCAGGTGTAGAGTTTTAGGGAGGGATTAGAGGTGAATCAGTTGACGAGGTTATGAACCTTGATCGACTGAGATTGTTGGCTCAGACATGTGTTAGGTATGCCTAGTCACCGATTGCCTCGTCACACAATGTTGGCTGAGGGTGGGTCGAGGCTGGAGAAAAGGTTTGAGGTGGCCAGGCTATGTAACATGGCACCAATGTATGAAGTGTTTGACTGTTGGTTTGAGCCATATGGGGCTATGCAGAGTGGGTGGTTGGGGTCCGTGGGACGAGAGGAAGCAGTTGTTGGAGACTGACTCTAGGTGATGATATGGCTCCGAATGGATGTGAGTGGCGCAGATGTGTACACACATTATCCTCATTTTAACGATGCTATACCGAATCTCACCATTTTCTCATTCTTCGTTTCTCTCTTTTCGTACTTTGTATTTCTTCTTACTGAATTTTATCTTCATCTTGCACTTCACCGCCTTTTTACATGATGTACTGATATGAGGTGTGGTAACTCGGAGGTTGAGGCTATAGTGACTGATCCTATATTGATATCGGTGATGATGAGTAGAGGGCTCATGGTAGCCAGATCGAAACGTGACACCAGTTAATTAAGTCTCTTATCGTTGGTCTGAGTTTTGTGGGGCAATATGTAATCTGCCTGGTCAGGGGCCTTGAGATAAAAAAAATCTGTTATGGGGGACTATTGGTGACATGGCTAAAAATCGGTCACAGTGACTCAGATGGATTCACTCTTTGACTTCTTCTAAAGCCTGAATATTCACACTAACCCTTATCCACAGATTGTTTATTCCGTCACACAGCTTTGTCTACCTTGATTGATATCATTCCCATTCCATCCACGTGTTTTTTGTATACTACTTTGAAGTATGGCATCTTGAGGTGATGCAGTTGAGTGCGACATTCTATTTTGGTTCTGTATGTTGGTTAAAGATAAAACCAAGAGTGGTTACTAGCATAGTGTAATCATTCCACTGCGAAGTCCAGAGGACAGTGTACACTGTTGGGTATACTGCTGTATGAATGTAAAGTTGTTTTCTTGTCTTTTGTAACAGTTATTCTACAAAAATGTTATAGTAAAACTTATGGTGGTGTGACAGCTAGTATAAATTAGTTATCTCTGTTAGTAGCAATGAATAGAAGTCGCTTTAAGTTTTAACTTCATTTCTTGCTCAAATGCACCATAGATAGATTCATCGACATTAAGTAATTATCTCATGCTGTTTGGGAATTCATTTTTTTTGTGTTTGTTATTTGACTTAAACAGTTTTTACACGGCATTATTTTTAGGTTAAGAGGCTGATATGAATATGCTGAGTGAAAGTGTCTGAATGGTTTGTTTGTGTCTTGCAGGCAGACAGAATTAACATAAAACCTCGCACTTTTCTGGCATGGTAGGATCTCCAGAGAGCAAGCGTTCCGTCTATTGTTGCTTGTTGTGTCATTATGATATACACGCCTGACCACCATGTCAAGGTAGTGGCTATCGGTGGAGTGGTGTCTTTCACTGTTCATATGCATGCTGATAAACAGATAGACAAACAAATCAATGTAGAAACTCACAGAAGTTCATTGGTTCATGTTGCCACACTTCACAGTAGCATGCGAGGGGCAAATGGATAGAAAAAGGCTGATTTCAAAGCAAAGAAAGACATATGGGAGAATTAGCAGTTTGAAGAAAAAGCTTAGCGTAAATATTAAAACTTTAAAAAACCTCAAAGAGTGGATATATCCTCGCCATCACCACCGATTTTCAGCCATGTCACCGAGAATTGTCAACCACTGATTTTTATCTTGTTGAAGGCTCCAACCAGGTGGTCTACATCCTCCCCACACGCTTCAGGTTAACAGTCAGAAACTTTATCGACTGGCGCCATATATTGGTTTGACTGCCCTGAACCCTCTTCTAACCTATTCCAACTCCTTCTAGTGTGGCAAGTCGAGGTAGACGCTAGCTCTGCATGCGCAGTACATATCTAGACCACCTCAATGGATGAAGGTTCGCAACCTCATCAGTCGGCTTACCTTTCTTACCTAGTACCCTTCCCCTGGCCTCAACATAGCTCACAGGATGATTCCATTAAAAGTGAGCAGTGCTACAAAGACATGTGTGAGCAAAACCCTGTGATTGCCTCATGTCTTCTACGTCTAACAGCCAATGTATACAAATACTTTTATATTATATTGCAATACTTTATCTGAATACTCCGCGGACGGACTAGACCGCCATTATTACTGTTGCTTAGGCGTGCACTGTATTATTACTTTTCTCGTCACTAGTGGATTTCCACTTTTCTGTGTTAACTAAAGGGGTCAGGGGTTCAGTAATTGAACCAAGTACTACAAATGTATTCAGAGTGCATTTATTTTATCTTGTATGTATCTGGTTTTATGTCATTATCTTGTGTTTCATAAGTTGGTAAGTGTTGTTAACCCTTGGAATGATTCATTTTTGCCTTCAACTTTTTCATTACATGCACCTTTCTCACTTCTTTTACTGACATTATTTATCTGTACAATTGATTTTGATAAACTTCAATGCCTATTTAACATTAGGAATATTGACATGAACATCTTTTTGTATCTCATAGTATCTTTTCGCATTCATCTTTTGCTTATACCTCTCAGCATATAATTAATACCTGAATATTTTATTTGTCCAATCTAAACATGTAGGAGTTAAACGATTGGTACAAGAATTATCATCAACAATTGGAGACAAGATCACGTGAATTACGTGAAAAGAAAAGTGAGCCTAATGGTTTAAATGGTCAATTTGTAAATGGTGAAAGTAAACCATCTGTGAAAGACTCAGCCGTTTGGGAGAGTATTTGTAATTTGTGTGATTTTCAGGTAGGCTTTAGTTTTAGGACATTTTTATTTCCATTTTCGATTTGGCTGCTGAAATTTACTGAATGACTAATATTGATTTCTTGACCTCAACTTCATCGACTTTACAAAAACCTTCGATAGCGTCGACCGAGAAGTAATTTGGCGACTGCTTCAACACTACGGTTTTAGTGCCACAAACCTTTATCAACCTCATTCAACTGCTATATACTGTGTGATGCTACATGCCTAGTGATTGACTATGGAAAGCTCAGTCATGCATTTGTAGTAAAGAAAGAAGCATGACAAGGTTGCCACCAGTTATCACCGATGATCTTCCTGATTGCGTTCAGCTGGACTGGACCTGATCATGCAACAAACTGTGAAGAGCTGTTAGAAGATGGACATACGCTGGCTAGACTGACGTAAAAACCCTAGATTTGGATTTCGCGTGTGATCATTTATATCTAATGTCTTGTAACGCAAACTCAAAGATCTACAGGCGAAAACTAAAGAGTTGCAGAAGAGGCGAGGCAAAGCGACAAAGATGCGACTTCCTTCAGGTGAACGCAGAAAAGACAGGTGTTAAAGATATCCAACCAACAACAACGAGCGCCAATCACCATCAATGGAAAAATGTAGAGGAAGTTATCTCTCTCACCTACCTACCACCCCATACCTACCTACCTACCTACCTAGGCAGCATCGTTTCAACTACAGGCGGCACAGGCACAGACACAGACACAGACGTGGACGTGGACGTCAAAGCTACGATCGGAAAAGCAAGTAAGACAGACCATCATTAACCTGAAATCAGTGTGGAGGTCTACTGCACTACACTACACTACACTACACTACACTACACTGCAGTCAGCATAAAGCGTGAACAACATCTGGATTTTCAACAGTAATGCCAGTCAAGTCAGTGCTTCTATGCGATGATTGAGAGACTTGGCGCGTTACGAAAAGCGTTCCCAACAAACTACAGACATACATCACGTCAACAGCTGCCGCCTTCACTCACTCGATACGCACACTGAAGATAAGATGAGATGGCCAGAATGATAAGAATAAGCAACAAGGAACTCTGCTTGACTGGCAACAAACCAACCAATCAACAACCTATCGCCCAACAAATATGCAGAGGAAGAAAGTGGAGATGGATTGAATTGGATTTGATTGGACATACACTGAGAAGACCATTTGGAGACATCACATGTCAGGCCAGGCCAGGCCAGGCCAGGCCAGGCCAGGTTACGCCGTCGAGTGGAAGGGAAGTGGGAAACGACGAGTAGTTGGGCGTCCAGGTGAGGGTGACATCAAGGAGGAGATCGTGTGAGGAAGAAATAAAAGCTAATGGGCAGTGGTGGAGCTAGGTTGAAAAGTCTGCGTAGAAGAGAGTGAAATGGCGACGTGCTACTCAAGCCCTATGTTCCACTAGGAACCCAAGGGACAAATGTTATATAGTATTCATTTCATCGTCGGGGGTCCAATGACAGATCAGATAATAAAAGATACCTTAGGATTTTGTTCGGACTGTGGAGCGAGGGATAAAACAGTCGAAATGGATACAAATTCAGAAGTTTAACTCGACTAACAGTTAAATCTAGTTTTTCAATGTCACTTAGCTGTGTGATCATAAGCTTGAGACAATAAAAGGTTTCCGCTGGTGTCTTATTTATAACTGCTTTATAACACCTTCCACCTTCACTCAATCACTATGTGCTCTGCTGACATATGTGCATTTGTCGATTGGATCATGTTTGCGTTTCTATAATGTAACTTTTCTAGTCATCATATAGTCAATAAGTGAATACGCTGTGGGAATCGTTCCTATTGAAGCAAAGGCTTATTTATTCCCTGAATGAAACTGCAGTTAAGTAGTTATTCGTCCCAAATTCCAGTCATTTTACCGTAGGTCCGACTGTGTTAGGAGCCGAAGAGCATCACCAATTATGAGAAGACATGCAAATTAAGCAAGAATTCCTTTTTTAGGGTAGTTGCCATGGCCTAACATCGGTTAGAGAACCATTAAAACCCTTGGACTATTGGACAGCTGTTTTGTCGTAGTTTGGAAGTTCTCAGCAATGCCCACCCACAACCCAATGGAGATTCAAATCCAGGACTTTCAGACCACTTGGTGACCCTGTTACCATTGAGCTGCTGGCTAGAAATCCAGTGGTTCGTTAATGCCTACTGCTGTCGATTCATGACTTGGCGTGACTATCATCCTGTGTCATCGGTAGGTATCTGCCTCATTTTCCTCTCGGTTGATCCAATAGACCATTAATTCGCACTAGAACATTGATAAATTCATCTTGAGATGGTTCACTAGTGAGCACTAAAGCTATCCCATAGGTGGTTTGCAGAGATTGATCGATCTCTGAGTAGTTTTCTTTATGGACACTATTTAGGCCTTTCTATTTGATTTCAAAATTGAAAATAAGATATTTATTAACTATATCAGTTTGACTATCTGAGATAACTATGATTTGAAAGACTTGTATTATTGGTACTTGGTAGTGACTGAAGGTGAAATGAATATCTGAACCACGGCAAGATTCAAACCAGAGACCTCTGCATGACTGGCCTGGTGCTCTACCGACTAGACTACAAGATCCGACTGCTGACCAGGTCCTAATTTCACTTCAATCATCAAGCGTTTCTGCCCAGCTATCAAGTGAATTTGTGATGCCTTACTATTGCTTGCTCTTACTCACACTGGTTGTGCAGTCAGGACTGTTTATCTCAATCCAAGTGGAGCTGAATTCGAGAGAAGGAAGCATCGTATTGATGATCAGTTTGGCTATCTAAGATGGGTGTAGTGTAATAACTACTCAATTACTTACATCTACCTTGTATTCTAACTTCGACAAGCTTCAGAGTTGTTTCTTACCAATATATATCGTTAATAAACTTTGTTACTTCATCCTAGCAAGATATTCATTGTGTATTTCGAAATGCACTCAGCGGCCACATGCACATCCATGCAGTAGGCAATAAGCCACATTTATTGTATCAGGGCTAGTGACACTACAGGATTACCGAGACTTCAGGTAATGTGGCGGGTTAGAACCTGTGGCTATCGATTAAAGTCGAGTAGTAAGACCAATGAGCCATATCATACTGTTTATTTAGTAAACGCTATATATATATATATATATATATATATATATATATATATATATATATATATATGTATATATATATATATATATATATATATATATATATATATATATATATATATATATATATATATATACACGTTACTTGAACTGCAAAAAGTTACATATAATCCTCTCATGCTAGAGTACCGCTGACTTTCATATTAAAACATTGCATCCACACTATGATAGTAAAGCAGGTTGGAACTTGTAGTCGTATACAAACTTGTCACTTTTATAAATTCACATTGACTGTTATTTACTATCATCAAATGTTTGATTGGATATTGTGTACTACTGAAAGTGTACGGATGATTGACACTTCCCTGCTGCCGATACAGTGGCAGGGTACCTCAGAGAGGAAAAGATTTGTGTGACCGCAGAGCTCATGTGACACGTACTTGAGGCCTGTCACATATGGTCTTTTCGGGTTGTTGTTTGGAGGTTTGGTTGTTGTAACGTCGGCACCGGAAGACCGTAGGGTAGAGAGGAGTGTGTTACTTTCGGTGCTGACCTTTTCTTACCCTCCATCTCCGTAGGGAAGGCAGCATTAACGTGGGATTGCTGGTCATCTGAGGGAAATACTTTACTGCTATCACACCCCATCCGGCTAGCAGCAGACTCCCATCATAGTATGGTAACTGCTTTTCGTCTTACCACTGTCCAACAGACCTTGCATAGCCTCGAGGAAACAAGGGTCCCATCAGCATATGTTGTTGGTTCATTGTGATATAGAAACCCGAGCATCACGTCAAGGAAGCAGCTTTCGGCTGGACTATCATTAAATAAAACCGTCTATCTCAGTATACCCCGACCGATAGCTGCTACCATTGATGTGGTGGTCGGGCTTGCATATCACAATGACTCAGCGAGCTATGCTGGTGGAACGCTTGTTCCCTCGAGTTTCCACCATACCAGAAAGGTCTCTTGGATAGTGGTTAGACGAAAAGCAGTTACCATTGTGGTGTAAATTACTACACTGTGATATGAGGTCTGAGAGCGAAGCGTACTGCCGCTAGCTGGATGGTGTGTGATAGAAGTAAGGTAATTCCCTTCGGTGATCAGCAGTGCCATGCTGCCTTCTCAGTGGAAGGGGGGAGAGATTAGAAAAGGTTGGCCCTAAAAATAACACTCCACCATACCCCACGGTCTGCCAGACCGTGGTGTTGGCTCATTTGTCGTTTCCTCTCAACCATCCGGCCCCAAAAATACAAAGGTTCAAAATAATCATACAGAAGGCTGGGTGTGACAGGCCTGAAGTAGATGTCCGATGGGCTCTGTGGTGACACAAATCTCTTCCAGGTACCTTAAGAAAAAATATCCCTTTGTGGTGTGGGCAGCCGGGAAGTGTCAACCGCCCTCACAATTCTGTTAGCACTCAAGTTTCTTCTGACTGCTATCCTCCTCCTCCATCATTAACTTCTAATCTTCCTTCCTGTCTCTCAACTAACGATACTACATCATCTTTAATTTCTCGTAGTTCTGTAGCCTTCGACAACGATCTGAGTCCACAGAACCGCATCCTTGGTCTCCCTAAACCACGCTACAAATTAGATATTGTAGCGTTTAATGTTCGCACCCTCCGTCAACACCCTTGGTCAACAGGCTTTGTTGGCAAAGACTCTAGCAACTCAGGGTATGGATGTGTGCTGTGTTTGTGAGACACGCATACAGGACCCAAGTGCGGTTATTCACCTGATCTCTCCCGACCAATCTGATGAGTCCGCGAAATTCACCTTCGATTTTCTGGAGATTCGATAGCTAGCTCTTGTGGTTTTGCAGGTGTAGGCATAGCATTAAGCAGTAGGGCAGCAAACTCACTACTAGACTGGATCCCAGTTGATAGTTACCTGTGTGTTATGTGGCTGAATGGCACAGTGAGAAGTAAAAGTAATAGTGAGACTCGACGTTGTCTCTTTGTAATCTCTGCTTACGCAAGTGGAAGATATAAAAAGGCTTCAGGTGTTTGACCACCGTTGTTTTCGTAGTATGGGACGTATTCCGTGGTGTCACGATGTGAGTAATGCAGAAGTCAGGCTCAGGTGTAGAGTTTTAGGGAGGGATTAGAGGTGAATCAGTTGACGAGGTTATGAACCTTGATCGACTGAGATTGTTGGCTCAGACATGTGTTAGGTATGCCTAGTCACCGATTGCCTCGTCACACAATGTTGGCTGAGGGTGGGTCGAGGCTGGAGAAAAGGTTTGAGGTGGCCAGGCTATGTAACATGGCACCAATGTATGAAGTGTTTGACTGTTGGTTTGAGCCATATGGGGCTATGCAGAGTGGGTGGTTGGGGTCCGTGGGACGAGAGGAAGCAGTTGTTGGAGACTGACTCTAGGTGATGATATGGCTCCGAATGGATGTGAGTGGCGCAGATGTGTACACACATTATCCTCATTTTAACGATGCTATATCGAATCTCACCATTTTCTCATTCTTCGTTTCTCTCTTTTCGTACTTTGTATTTCTTCTTACTGAATTTTATCTTCATCTTGCACTTCACCGCCTTTTTACATGATGTACTGATATGAGGTGTGGTAACTCGGAGGTTTAGTCAGTAGTTACGGATTCTATGTTGATATGGGTGATGATGGTAGTGCATCTACTTATTTGTTTTACTGTATTCTGGTTTAGTTTTGAGGGTAGGGTTTTCAGGTGGAGGATATGAAATGCAATAACACTAGAAAATGTTTTCCCTACGGTCGGAACACCTACATGTTGATGTAAAGTTTTCACGAATAGAGGGTTGCGTATTTTTTGAGAGTAAAGGGTTTTTACCAGCATGATCTTGCATCTTCATTACCTTTGCGTGACAATAGGTTTCATATTGGTAGTGTTACATTCATGTTGTTCATAATTTCACCTAATAGCTAAAAGTTGTGGTAAACTGTATTGTGTAATGCTTGTTAAACAACCTTTTGTTTTTACGGTTTCGCTCTGCACTTAGCATATTAGTAAATATTGAAAGCATTATGGTTCATTGACTGGTTCATTCGCACTCGATTCCCAAGCAGTGGGCCTCAGATTTAGATTACACTTCACCTTTTTGACCTGGTCAATTGGATGGTATCATAAGCCATTCCACAATCAATGTGTCTAATTACTTATTATTTGTCCCTTGGGTTCCTAGTGGAACATAGGGCTTGAGTAGCACGTCGCCATTTCACTCTCTTCTACGCAGACTTTTCAACCTAGCTCCACCACTGCCCATTAGCTTTTATTTCTTCCTCACACGATCTCCTCCTTGATGTCACCCTCACCTGGACGCCCAACTACTCGTCGTTTCCCACTTCCCTTCCACTCGACGGCGTAACCTGGCCTGGCCTGGCCTGGCCTGGCCTGGCCTGGCCTGGCCTGACATGTGATGTCTCCAAATGGTCTTCTCAGTGTATGTCCAATCAAATCCAATTCAATCCATCTCCACTTTCTTCCTCTGCATATTTGTTGGGCGATAGGTTGTTGATTGGTTGGTTTGTTGCCAGTCAAGCAGAGTTCCTTGTTGCTTATTCTTATCATTCTGGCCATCTCATCTTATCTTCAGTGTGCGTATCGAGTGAGTGAAGGCGGCAGCTGTTGACGTGATGTATGTCTGTAGTTTGTTGGGAACGCTTTTCGTAACGCGCCAAGTCTCTCAATCATCGCATAGAAGCACTGACTTGACTGGCATTACTGTTGAAAATCCAGATGTTGTTCACGCTTTATGCTGACTGCAGTGTAGTGTAGTGTAGTGTAGTGTAGTGTAGTGCAGTAGACCTCCACACTGATTTCAGGTTAATGATGGTCTGTCTTACTTGCTTTTCCGATCGTAGCTTTGACGTCCACGTCCACGTCTGTGTCTGTGTCTGTGCCTGTGCCGCCTGTAGTTGAAACGATGCTGCCTAGGTAGGTAGGTAGGTAGGTGTGGGGTGGTAGGTAGGTGAGAGAGATAACTTCCTCTACATTTTTCCATTGATGATGATTGGTGGTCATTGTTGTTGATCCGGTGTCTCGTATAGCCTGGTACATATACTTATACCGTGTTGAGTTATGGTTTTTACAGTGATACTCATCTAAATGTTGTTTTCCTTTCTATTACTTTTACATCTGTGTAATTATCATTATCCTAGTAGAAGATACCTGAATCGTACCTTAAATCCTGCTTATTTTGTTTTTACTTTTTCTTCTTCCACTACAGTCAAAGCAGAAGATTGCAACTGATATGTCAAGAATGCGTGGTATTCTACTATCTCTTAAACCGACCCCTTAATACTGTGACAAGAAGATTCTCTCTCTCTCTTGTATGCCTACTTCAAATTTCCACCCTCAAAGTAACATATGTTTTACTGCCACTGGAGTGCCTTGACATTCATCTTGATTTTCATTTGTTATCTTTGTGTGTGTGTCTGTCATCCGCATGATGTAAACTCATTTCGTTGACGATATCCTCTATGTTTTGATGCTCACATATGTGTGATTTATGTAGGTACATTTTAATCTGCATATATGCTAGGTTTTATCTATTTTAGGGTTATATGCATGCTCAATTGTTTGGTTGTACAACTTTATTATTTTTGATATGCCTTTTTTGGCCTCAGGTGGTGTATTTTTCATCAGTTGTTCGTTTGTGTTGTGTTTCTCTAATTCACTTTTCAAATCTGGAAACTGTAATTACAAGGTGTTTTTATTTTGTTTCGTCAGTGGATTAATCTGCTCGCTAGTTTGTTCTAAAAAAGAAATATCTCGTGTATGTGTGTATGTGCGTGTTGCATGTGTATATGCTATGCTTTCAGACGATTTGTATTTTGGGGAATAAATACTTTGATTTGTATTTGTTTTCTCTCTGTCTTTCTGTGTTATCGGTAGTGATTTTGTCTACTGACTGTATGTGTGTGTGTGTGTGCGCGTGTGTGTGTGTATGATATTCTGGATCACTATTTGCTTGTTTACGTTCTGTTGAATTTGTATTTTGATGGCTTTTACAGAACTGTGTGGTTAATTTTTGTTTTAGACTCTTCTCTCCTTTTCACTCTCTGTTTACTTCGCGTTACAATAAAAACTGGTGGTTAGAAACTAGGTTCTGTGGCTCAGAAGACGGGCGAGTTGATTGATAAGGTTGTGAATCTAAGTCGATTGAGATGGCTTGGAAATGTGCTGCGCATACCGAGCCACCACTTATCTTGACGTGCTGTTCTGAGGAAAGTTTTATTAGGATGAAAAAAAGGTTCAATGAGTTCAAACCAAGACTTGGCACCAGCCGATAAAGTCTCTGACTGTTGGTCTGAGCTATGTGGGAAGATATAGACTGTCTGGTTGGGGTCTGTGTGATGAAAGGAAACAGGGGTTGAGGAGTCTTGGTGACATAACCGAAAAGCGGTCACTCTTAGACATCTTCTAAAGCATTAGTATTTGGGCTGATCTTCATCTTCAAACTGCTTATTCTCTCATACAACTTCGCCTGCCTTGGTATCAGTCTCTATTGAGCCACTTGTTCTTTGTGTACTATTGTGAAGTGTGGCAACTCGAGGCGATGGATTTGTGTGCGAGGTTCTACGTTGATTCTGTTCATGTCTGTCTGTCTATGATTAGACGTCTTAGAAGAGCTGGCAAACGGGCAAGCTTCACCTTTTTCGTTGGGGTTTCATGATTTGTACTCATACACAACTCTAAATGCACAAGAAACTCGAACCTTCAAGTCTTGTAACACGAAATATCACCTTGCCTTCACTGATTTGAAACCGGATGCTTCGTATCTTCCAAGTTTTGTCAGCTCACTATATAGTGCTGTCATCACTTGTTATCCATGAAAAATCATCCTCTTTTACAACTTGACTGCTCCAATAGGTTGGTAGGTTTTCCATTAGGACTTCAGATGTAAATAAATCATCTCTAAACAATGAACACTTATTCAGTTGAATAGTTGGGTGGGGAATTGATTGGTTTTAATGCGTTTTTCACTACAAACCAGCTGAAGAGCCAGTGAAAACAGGGAACACTGGGAACCTTTTCCGTCCTAGTTTGAGACCCTTCATCATTTCGGACGCACTAATTTTTACAGTGTTGTGCTCAAATGGTTTATGCCCTTAACGCAGTCGTTAGCCTTGAGGTTGGTATCCAATGAAATCCATATTTTTCCAGTTCACTGTTGATCCTTTGACTATCACTTGTTGCTCCAACTAGATGCAGTTAGTAATGGACAGTATCGTATGTATCTCAGTTCTCCATGAACCAGTCAACTAAATAACCTTATTTGTTATGCTGTACTGCTTCTGCTGTTTTCACTAAGACTGATGACTAGTTTAGTAATAATCTCTGCTACGAAGTATTTGATGTTGAGTCTAACCTATTTTCCTCCTTCAACTCTGCATACTCATGACTGTTTTCAGTTTGTCTAGGCTCACTTTGTAGTTTTTTGATATTGTGGTACGTATTTCTAGCTTAATGGGATTCTGGCTCATTGGTTTATGTGGATGACTCTCAATCAGTGGATCACGAGTTCAAACAACCCTCCACCTACCGAGATTCGGGCAGCCAGGTAGTATTATTAGCTGCCACACAATAGATATGACCCATCACCTTCTGCAAGAATAGACATAAGGTTGCTGTGTCTTAGTACTTCAGTTATGCCTAAAATTTTCCTAAATGAAACACTGGCATTAAGCATATACTTGACAGTTATTGACTAACGTACTGTGAGATTTTGCTTGTTGATGCAATTGTCCAAGGTAAAAAGAACCTCTGGAACCTCAATGGCGGATAATAAGGTCAGACCTAGAGGGGTGTATAAGAAAGATAAGTTAGTCGACAAGGTCAGCTAGTCAGTATCAATACACAGCCTGGCAATGCTATGCGGCGGTCCAGGCTGTCACATCTCACATCGGGATACAAGGCAGCAAGATAGAAATATATGAGTGTCTCAATTAAAATTGCTTGAACATTATAAGATTTAACGAAGAAGTGGGTTTAAGAAGACATTGAGATGAAGATAATTTTTAGATGGACCTACGTCTCGGTTCTAGGTCTTTTCACGTTGTTTGCAATCAACGGTCATACATCTACTGTTGAATGAGTTTGATAAATATTTGTTGTACCCCGCAGTGTTGGAGCAGCTGCCTGCCAAATTACTCCTCGGTCGACGCTGTCGAACGTCTTTTAAAATCGATGAGGTTGACGTAGAGAGTTGACTGCCATTCTATGCTCTGTTCTATGATGATGCGTAGCGTTGCAGTTTGATCCACACATGATTTGTTCTTCCCGAATCCAGCATGTTCCAGTCATATTTTTGAATCCAGCGCATCCTTTAGCCTCTCCAGGATGATGCGGCTTAATATTTTGCTTGCGGTGGACAGGAGCATGATTCCGCGCCAGTTCTTGTTCTTGGGAAGACTTAGGTCTCTCTTCTTTGGAAGTTTCACAAGGTAACCCTTCTTCCAATCGCCAGGTACCTTTCCTTCCTTCCAGACCTTCTGCAATAGTGGTATGAGCATGTTCGCTGTTGTCTCTGCGTCTATTTTTAGTGCTTCTGGCGGAATTATCTCTGATCCTGCTGCCTTCCCGTATTTCAGTAGCCCTATGACATTTAGTACTTCTACTTTTGTCGGAGGGCTTGTGTTCACCGGTAGTTCTGTGGATGGGCTGCTGGTGGTATTTCTGAACGAGTTGCATGTGGTGGTGGTCTATTTAAGAGTTTTTTGAAGTGGTCAACACATTGTTTCCTTTATTTCTCCTCTTTGGTAACTAGGTTCCCTTCGCTGTCCCTCATTAGTTTTATCTGCGTTGATCTCTTTCCTCCCAGATAGTAAACTGGTTATTTGATATAGTGTTGTCAGATATCTCCTGCCTGCAGCCTCTTCTACTTCACTTGCAAATGTGTCGTAGAAGTGTCTTTTGTCTTTGCGCGCACCCTTCACTTCTTTATCCAGTGTAGTGTTTTATAGGTTGTGTTCAGTTCCTGTTTTCGTTATTCATCCCTGCACTGTACTGTTTCATCTTTTGCTTCATCATCTTCCGCTCCCACCTCTATCAGTTTCCATGTGTCCGTCGAGATCCATTCTTTATCTTCTTTCTTCTTCCTTCCTAATACGGTTATCCAGGTTTCTCTCCACATCTCTTTCAAAGAGTTCCAGTATTCTTCCATGCAGGTTTCCTCAGTGATGTTGCTCAATGTCTCTAATTTTTTTCTGATGACTGACTGAGTTGATTATGTCCTTTGAGGTTTCGTCCTTCAGCTTCTGTTCTGGGTGTTGAACTTGAACTGTGGTCGTCTATTACCAGCTTCTTTGAGTTGAAGGCTTTCAACTTGATTTTGAAGGTAGGTTCCTTACACTAGATAGTGAGTGGTGTGAAGCTACATCTGCTCCTCTTCTTGGTCTTGTGTCCAGTAGGGCTGACTGCGTCTCCACTTCCTTCAGATTGAGATGAAGTCGATCTGATTTTTAGTGTGTCTTGGTGAAATCAAATCCATGTCACTTTATGAATATCCTTGTGTTTGTACACAGTGCCTTCAATCACCAAATCATTTAATCCTTTATTAACCCGCAACTATTCATCCCTTTCTGTAATACCTATTTTGTCATTATTTTGCCTGTGTTCAAGTCTTTTTTGTGTGCTGTTAGGAAGTATAACAAAGTGAACTAGTAAACTTCTATGCAAGGGTTCTGGGTCGGTCATTTTTTGTCTTTATAAGTTTACTCTTCTGTCTCGTAGTTTATCTGTTATATGATAATCTCACTTTTTTTTATTTATTATTCTTACTAGGGTGTATCAGGTCTTGTTATTTGTGCATTCTTATTTGAAAATACCAGTTCATTACTGCATTCATCGCGTCTTTCGGTGTGTTCAAATAATATTGTTGTTTAGAAAGGGAATTACGTAGGTAATACACAATTATACTGGTTGATGATTGAAGGTGAGATGAAAATTTGGACCGCGGCCGGATTCGAACCAGTTACCCCCGAGTTCCTGGCTGGATGCTCTACCAACTGAGCTACGAGGTCCAACTGCTGCCAGATTTTTATTTCACTTCAATCACATGGTGGGGTTTTGCTCGACTACCATGTAAATTCGTGATGCATTACTACCGCTTGATCATATTCACACTTGCTGCCTAGTTAGGACTTCAGTGAAATAAAAATCTGGTCAGCGGTTGGACATCGTAGCTCAGTTGGTAGAACATCGGGAACCCGGTGGTCTCTGGCTCGAATCCAGCCGTGGTCTGAATTTTTATTCCATCTTCAATCATCACTTAGTATAAATACTAGTCTACAAAACTACGGCTGTCTCAGATAGTCGAATGGTAGTATAAAATTAGATAATCAGGGTGGTCTATGTATGTGTGTATGTGCGTTTAGATTTCACCACTAGATCACTTGCTGTTCACGTGAATATTTAACAGCAGACTGGTGGTACACATGATAGTATTGTGAAAGAATTTCAAGCCATCCACTCATTACAGATACAGGTAAAGTGTGTGGGGTTTCGCTACTATGTATATTTGCTTATTATTTCTGTGTGTTAATCATTTCGTACGTGTTTGTGAGTAAGATGGTGTTTATGTATTCTCTAGAGTAATATACTTGACACAAACAAATTAGTGCGTCATCTAAATAACTGTAGCTATATACAAAAGTGCTTTGTAGACTATTGCTTCAGTCTCCTGATTGCATGGAGTTTTCTATTTTCTCGGAATAGAGTTAGTTTACACAGGTCTAATTCTACTCAACAATGATACACACATGCCTTTTGTATATAAAGTCAATTCATGGCTTACATTAAAAGGTCTTCATGTTGACTAATTATATATACAGCTGGTTACTGAATCAAACAACTTA